ATATATATATATATATATACGCACACACACACATCATGTCTTTATTACAGTGTCTCTATGTAATTATTACTCCATTCTAGTGTCGTAAGGAAAATAAGTATTTGAACACCCTGTTATTTTGCAAGTTATCCGACATCATGCAGGGATCTGAAATTGTTCACTGTGAGAGACATTATCTAAAAGAAAATCAAGAAAGCACAATATATATTTTCTAAATATTTATTTGTATGATACAGCTTCAAATAAGTATTTGAATGCCTGAAAAAAATCAGCTAGAATTCTGACCCTCAAAGACCTTTTAGTCTGCCCTCAAAATGTCCACCTCAACTCCATTTATTATCCTAAATTAGATGCAAAGCGTTTTAGGTTGTTAGCTGCATGAAGACACCAGTCCACCCCATATAATCACTAAGAATCCAACTACTAACACGGCCATGACCAAAGAGCTGTCCAAACTCACTGAACACTAAATTGTACACCTCCACAAGGCTGGAAAGGGTTACGAGGAAATTGCCTAGCAGTTTGGTGAAAAAAGGTCCACTGTTGGAGCAATCATCAGGAAATGGAAGAAGCTAAACATGACTGTCAATCTCCCTCAGACTTGGGCTCCACGCAAGATCGTGGGGTCTCAATGATCCTAAAAAAAGTGAGAAATCAGGCCAGAACTACACGGGAGGAGCTGGTCAATTACCTGAAAAGAGCTGGGACCACCAATACACTAAGACGTCAGGGTTTGAAATCATGCATGGCATGGAAGGTTCCCCTACTTCATTCAGAACACGTCAAAGCCTGTCTTAAGTTTGTCAGTGAGCAATTGGATGATCCAGAGGAGTCATGGGAGAAAGTCATGTGGTCAGATGAGACCAAAATAGAACTTTTTGGTCATAATTCCACTAACATTGTTTGGAGGAAGAAGAATGATAAGCACCATCCCAAAAACACCATGCCCACCTTCCGGCAGTGTATGCAAACTTGATGAAAAACTACAGGAAATGTTTGACCTCTGTAATTGCAAACAAAGCCTACTGTGCCAAAAATTAACACTGATTTTCTTAGGGTTTCAATACTCGTTGCAGCTGTATCAAACAAATAAATAGTTTAAAAAAAAAATCATATATTGTTACTTCAGGATTTCTTTTTTAATCTTAGATTATGCCTCTCACAGTTGACATGCACATATGTCAGACCCCTCCATGATTTCTAAGTAGAATACTTTGCAAAATAGCAAGGTTATATAGGTATTTGGAAAATTTTAGATTTCCAGAATAAACCTTTCTTTGAAAATTTGTGTGTCAACCTGTTCTAGCTTTATCTCACAAAACAGTTAAATATATATATATATATATTAGTGCTGTCAAAATTATCGCGTTATTATCGCGTTAACGCGAGGCCATTTTAACGGCGATAATTTTTTTAACGTGAGATTAACGCTATGTGGTTTTATGGTACAATTTTCCAAGTACATCCCGCTGCAGCCTGCGGGAAGGCAGGGCTATTTTTCCCCAGTCTATGCATTTCTCATAGGCTTCGAGAGCGGAGCTCCTCAAGGAAAAAAGCTGCTCATACACTGGTTGACGCTAGTGCCTTTTCTTTAAGCCCCACCACCAACAAACAAGTTGAGT